CTTGCAAGTGAGAGGACCCGGGCAGGGTGAAACTTAGGCAAGTTTCCTTACTTCACTCGCCTCTGTTTATCCCTGTAAGTAGGAACCCGGTTGTTAGTCGATTCCCGGATTGTTTTCCAGGGATAATCATCCCTTAAAAAATATATAATTTGGTCATTAAATGGATAACAATTGGCTGCTTTCGCCCACAAAATATACAGTCAATTCATTTTATAATATATTCTGTGAAGCGCGTTGAGACATCTCAACGACGTATGAGGCACTATAATCAAATGATAGGATTATTATTAATATTAATAGGAAAAGGAGGAAAAGCAGCACAGCATTATTGTTACCAGTTAAGTAAATGTGAGTTACAAGTTAACTTTCAATTAGTCACCTACAAAATACACAGTCATTGCACTTTATAGTAATTCCTGTGAATTGATTTAAGGCTGATGTGAAAGATGTGAAAGACTCTATATCAAATGCAAGTATTATTGTTAATAATAACATTATTATATTAGTTCACAATGCTTCTTGGATTGTAATTTTATCTACAAAAGTAGCACTGTTTGTTTGCATTGGACTTGGATTGGAATTTAGGGTTATTGTATTTCATAGATTTATATATAACAAAAGAATCTTCTGGGAAATTGGATGGATAGACAAATGGGTGGAGCAAAAACATTTTATTAACATTAGTGAAAAGCACCACAATAAATCCCTATGAAATTACTAGGACATTTTGCTAAATCAAAAACAAACACAAATGTAATACCTCCGTAATGTAATTTCAACCTCAATTTATGGCAGCATTATTTTGGAACAATAATTATAATAATGACTCGCTTTTATTCAGCCCCTTTCATGTGAAATAAACGGCTTGTTGAAGTCCAAAGTTCCACATGGTTTAGCCTCTAACACAATTTTGTCTTAAAATTTAAGAACAGACAAAATTGTTGAAATCCAATACATTCTTTCTTGATTTGGAAGTTGGATGTTTCTAAGATCTGTAGAAATCCAGCATTCAAATTGAGACTGAATTTAAGAATTTTTGCATAATTCAATGTGAATTTAGGTTGTAAAATAAATGTTTTTACAGATTAGGATTAGGTGAAATTTCAAGCTTGAGGTTGAGCGCTTTATAAAATAAAATTGAATAGAAATAAGAGAGTGAACACAGGTGTTATACAGGTATTTGGAATGATAAAGAAAGCACGGGTATACCTTGGCTCTACATTTTTGATGCTTTGGTGCGACTTTTTTTAATTCTAAAAGCTCCTACATTCTCAAAGTGCTTGTGTTGTGTTGTAATTATAATCATCAAAAAGACTAATTGAATACTAACATGCTGGCCAAAAATAACCACCTTTTCGGTTACACCAGATTTCCAATATTAGATTGTTCAGCTGCAGTTTATCACTTCATCTTAATCACATCTGTGCAGAATTACCTCAACTTAGTATATTGATGTACATGAGCACACAACTGTCACTCCATGCTCTTTCTGGCTCCTGCTTTGGAGTTGTAATAGGAATGGATGAAGCTCCATACCAGATAAGCATTGCACCATATTCTGTCATGACAGGATCTGCTTTGAGTTGATGGATTGCAAGCCAGCAGTGATTTTGAATCCTATTCAAAGTTAATTACAGTATCAGTTATGCTAACTCTATGATTTTAATGGATTGCAGGAGTTTGGTCTTTACTTTGTACCTTCCTTTTGTTTTTTTATTAAAATAGCATTTAATTATGACAAACAGTATTGACATTTTTACTTTAAATCCAGAAAATATGATTTTCACCATTTAACATCAAAATGTTGAAAAAAATTTCAATATTTTGATGTTAAATGCTGAAAGTCATATTTACAAAGACGGACTTTTTTTTTGTTGGTAAGATGGGCCTAATATTTGACCCAATTTTAGTTGTAACATTATTTTGAAGTAAAATTCATTTCGTTCACCCTCAAAATAGAGTCACTCTACTTAACAGTTTACACTGTGAAGTGTGCTTTAAGACATCCTCCTAGCGTGAAAGGTACTATGTCTAATGTAAGGATAATTATTATTATAAAACATTTTGTCTTAAAATTGAAGATGGCGGAAATTTGTAGAAAATTTGCAGTTTACATTTAAGGTTGAATTTAAGCACTTCCGCTATTCAGTGCTATCTTAAATCTTAAAACAGAATGGTTTTACAGGCGAAATGTAGGTGAAATTTCAGGTCTCAGAAACCATCTGCTTTACAGTGACCTTTAAATCACAAATAAGAATCGAATATTTTCCATAGAGTCTGGACTGCAGTCTCTGTAGTGAATAGACTAAACTCGACAATTTTCTCCAAAACAGAGTTCATCAATTTACAGTAAGATGTCACTTATTTTTACTCAAATATATTTGCAAAGGTAGCAGTAAATAATTATTTAAAGCACAGTGTTTCTTTTGGCAGGCCTTCAGTCTGGAGTCAAGACATAGGAACCCAATCCAAACACTGTGACCTCCTTAGTCAGGCCAAGCAGGATTTAAAGCAACAAACACACAATAACAGTGGGAGGCAGTGGGAGCTTGGGTCCCTATCCTCAACATATACTTTATTCATTTTAATGCAGTTTTCACATTTGTAGTCTCCTGTCTCCATGTGACTAGCCTTCTTTTTCCATCCCTCTACAGACAGGGGTGTGAGAGTGGGTGGTCCTCAGTGTATTAAAGGTGATGCAAACATGAGGTGAATCATTTGGAATGTTGGACAGTGGAAACGCTTCCAATCGGCAACTGGGCAATGGGAACTTAACCCTTTAGACACAAAGCGCCTACTAGCAGCCGTTCTGCTCCTACTGAATAGATTGGAAATTTCTGACAGTTCTGGTTGAGAAAGACTGACTGAACAAGAACTAAAATTGTTTGCAATAATCCTTGCAATTTTAAAGAGCTTTTCACATTGTCAAGAGATCTCAACGGACACAGGCCTGCTACATGTCCCCGACCCCTCCACACTACCAAAGGCGGCTCTGCCTTTCCCTCTTTATTTATCTTTAAATCCCACTTAAGACCTATCTCTCACTGGGTTTTTGGTCACCTACCTTTCTCCCTTTGCTCAGCGTCTAACCCCATCACTGTGCAGCACTCCAAGATACTATTCTGTGTGAAGGGCGCTATATAAATGCAAGTTGTTGTCATCTCAAAGTGCTTACTCAAAGAAATTTACTGTAAAATGCAGAGACTGTATATTTGATGGCAAACACAGCAGCCAATTTGTGCTCAGTCAGGAAGTGAACGACCAATTTTATCTGAAAGAAGGCAATATGGAAATCTATAGCTATTCTATGTTTTTTCATGTACTTTATTCATCCTTGGATATTTTGTCAGGAACTTCGTCTCGATAATTGGTTGGGAATGAATACCTGACTGAGCACTGATTCATAGCAGCATAGATGTTGGCACATGAACTGGAGTTTTGAAGTTCACTGGCACTGACACTTGCAAGCACAGAGGTGCCAATCACAAAAAAATGTGTGTGCAGTTTCATACTGTGCAATTGCATCTACTGAGAACCCGGTTGAAACTTTCCAGAATCACTTCACACGGTACCTTGACCAGATGTCAGACAGTCCAAGTACTTCGCCCATCTGTTTGACTGGAATTGAATCCAGCCGCTGTAGACAAAAGCGGTATGAAGTCCCCTAACGCTACATTAAAACAAATATTTATGCAGGATTTGGGATTGCCCAGAATTTATTCACTCCAGAAATCCGAAGTCTGTGGGAATAATTGTCATGGGAGCAGAAGGTTTTATTCACTGTATTAAGGTGGCTTTCTCTGTCAGACTCCTGACTGGAACAAAATAAGAACATGGTTTCTAAAAATAAACCTTTTGAAAGTGATTTTTTTCCATTTCAATCTGTTTTGATTTATAGGAAATGTAGGTGTACAAATTGAAAACAGTTGGTATTGGTATTTTCATCATGTAAAAGGTTTTACACATTGTGGGTATGTTTAATATGTCCCTAAAATTCATTTTGCCCTATCTTTGTTTTGTAATAGCAAGTTAAAGCTAACATTGCATTATTAATAGATTGAATGTGGTGTGAGGAGCTGACTGAATAAGGTTGCCTTGGTTCTGTGTGTCAGCATATTGAGTGCTGTAAGTGTACAGCTGAAAGCTGCACTGGAAGGAAGCCAGAGTTGCATTTCTCATGGTGCGTGACCTGAGTTCTTTGTTTCTACAACCCACTGCCGCAGTGACCCACAGTGGAGCCAAATCATCGCTACAGTGTTTGTTTATCAAAACTTCAATCAAATATCCGGCAAACATCAGGGTCACCCAGGTGCTGAGGCAAGTGTCACAAGAGTAAACAGATTAGAAGCTGCTCTAGATAAAGCAATACGGCAGTCTTGTGGAAACCTCTGTGCTTTGGCTCACAGCACGATCAAGATACTGCAGCATCACAAGGGGCCTGACAGTAGCATAAACTGGCATGCTGGAGTCAGTTGCCCAGTGATAGGTTTGACAGATTTTCATGTGATTTTCAGCAACACGTAAGCTAGGTGGTTTGAAATAAAAGCTAATCCCAACTGTGGAGAACTAGTACAAATACAACAGTTGGATTGTAAAATCAGAGAAGCACAGGACATTTACAGCACAGAAGGAGACCATTAAACCTATTCTATCTATGCTGCTGTTTGCTCCCTCAATAGAGATATCAACTCTAATACCTAGTTCTTTCCCCATATCCATGATATTTTTCCTGAAGTATTTCTCAAATTTCCGTTTTAAATGCTATTATGGACTCAGCTTCAACGGGATCAGAGTTTAGCATCAAGCTTAGTTCTGCCCTTTGGGGCTCTAGGCTACTTTTCAACCTTTTTCTACAAATTAATTGAAATAGCAAAGACGATGAGCATTGAGTAATCAGGATCATTAAAGGGTTAACTGAACTCTTGAACTCTGCAATGAAGAATGTCGCAACTCATTCCTATTGCGCTCTAAGCGTAAAAAAACCTGAACCTTCCCAGAGAGGTGTGGTGTGGCTTATACCTTCAAGAGCAGCTGGGTGAGAGGACAAAGAAAAGGTAATCTACACTATTTTGATTTAGCCTTGAAGACTTATCATGTGTAATTTTTGCAAAGTTAGATGTGTGGGGCGAAAAGAAGTGTGTGTGTAAAAAAAAATTCTGGCCTGAGTGATAATATCTTTCCTGGTTTGGTAATCTCAACGGTTTTGAGTAAAATTTTTGAAGCAGTAGAAATTTAAAGCCGAATATTTAATGGTTCTCTGCAGCTTCTCAGACAAAATTTGGAGGGAAATAGCAAAACAAACTCAAGTACCTAATTAATCTGGGAGGTTTTATTAATTGTGCTGTCGTTGTGACCTGTCAGAGGGGCAGCGTGGAATTAAGGTGAATTTACTAGGTTCCCCGGACATTCATAATGAAGGAATGCACATAATTTTCCAAGTGCATTCTCCTTACCAGACAAATAGAAACCATATACATGTGGCATTCTTGGTGGTTTGGTTTGGAGAGTAAATTGTCAGAGCTGCCGTCCTTCGAAAGAAATGTTGAACCAAGTTCCATCTCCCTGTGTTTAGGTGGACATTAAAGATCCACTAACACTATTCAAAAAAGGGCATTTTGTCCAGTGTCCTGACCAATAATCCCTGCAAAAAAATTGGTCATTCACTTCATGACTGTTTGTGGGACATTGCTTTGGGAAATTGGCTGTCGTGTTTGCCTACAAAATACACAGTCACCACACTTTACTGTAAATCCTGTGAATTCCTTTGAGACATCTTCCTGATGTGAAAGATGCTATATCAAATGCAAGAATTTGTGGACTCTTGTAGCTCAGTGGTTAGTGCACTCATCTCACAAGCGAGAGACCTGGGTTCGTATCCCAACAGGGCGAAATGTTGGGCAAGTTTCCTTACTCCACACGCCTCTGTTTACTGAGCAGAAAGTAGGAACCTGGTTGTTAGTCGATTGGTGGATCGCTTTTCCGGGAGAAATAATTCCTTCAAAAAAATAATAATAAATTGGTTACTTCAATCCACGACTGTTGTGGGACACTGCTGTGCGCAATTAGCTGCCGCATTTCACCCACAAAATATACAGTCAATTCACTTTACAGTATATTCTGTGAAGCGCTTTGAGACGTCCTCAACGACGTGATAAGGCGCTATATCAAACGCAAGGATTATTATTATTGATATATGTACTGAAGTACTAAAGACAAATTAGTATCAAGTCCTGTGAAGTGTTCTCGGTGCTGTCTTTCTATTCCCAGTCTGCTTCATCCTATGGCCCAGGTGAGATTTCAGAATGAGTGAGAAGTGATAGCAGGAATATTTGTGATGCAGGATTCACAGTCATTGAAAAAGAAATATCCTTTAATATTTGGGAACATTTTAATTGGTGACAGAATTACAATAAATTACAATACTTGGATCAGAACACATCCAAACTAAGATGAAACTAATGTGAGCCTCCAAACTAAGATGGATAGTCATTATTTGAAGCAAGTTGAAGTAAATTGGATACCATGGTCTTGGTCAACCACAGATTTGGTTTTGTTTGAGGTAGTGCAAGTTCAATTAATGCTTTCTGTGAAATGGTTTGTAAAACAAATAAATTGCTGGTTTCCACTTTTGTTCGATGGGGGGTTCTGAAACTGTTCATCTCAGTGCAGCAACTTCAGCTAAGAAGAGATGCAATATGCTCAGTGTTGGGTATATAAAAACATAATTATGGATTATCTCAGTTTCAAAGTGTTGATTTCATTCATGCTGCATGTACTCATTTTAAATAGAATAAGATGAATAATGTGATATGTGATGTGACAATTGCACTAGTAATAATTACTACATTGGGATACTGTTCATTTCATTCACTGCGCATATGCAAAGCCAGCCTGCTCTCTTTAACATACTATGTACTTATGGAGTTAGACTACCAGTTTATAATGGGACTCCACTATAGGTAACTATCTCCTTAGAGAGTACACAAGGATATATGAAATGGAAAATTCCATATGAGTCACTGGAACTGAAATTTAACTTAACATTGTTACTATTATGTTTACATTTAGGCCACTATCTGGCAAAGCAGCATGAATTCTTGTTCTTCACAGTTGAGTTAAAGATTTTCCCAAACCGCACGACCTGAAGCCAGTCAACAATTATAACAGAAATGTCACCATTTCTCAATGTTAATTAGCTCATGTGGGGATTGGGGGAGACGTCTCCCTGGAGCAAGCTTGATGGTCTCTCGGCCTTTCTGCTTCATAACTCTTATGGGGTATAACATAACATGTAGGAGCAGGAATAGGCCATTCGGCCCTTCGAGCCTGCCCCGCCATTCAATCATGGCTGATCTTCTAATCTAACTCCAGCTAATAACCTAACCCTGCCCTATCCCCATATCCCTTAATCCCTTTTGCAATAAGAAATCTATCTATCTCAGTCTTGAATATGTTCAAGGACTCAGCGTCAACAGCCCTTTGGGATAGTGAGTTCCATACATTCACCACCCTTTGAGTGAAGAAGTTCTTCCTCAACTCAGTGTGAAAGGACTGGCCTCTGATTTTAAGGTGGTGACCCTTAGTTTTAGTTTCTCCAACCAGGGGAAACAATCTCCCACTATCTTCTCTATCATGCCCTTTGATGATCTTATAGATTTCTATAAGATCCCCTCTAATTCTTCCATATTCTAGAGAATATAGGCCCAAATTGGTCAGCCTATCCTCGTAACTCATCCCCTTCATCCCTGGTACTAACCTAGTAAATCTACGCTGCACCCCCTCCAAGGCAAGTACATCCTTCTTTAAATAAGGAGACCAGTATTCCAGGTGTGGTCTCACCAGGGCCCTATACAGTTGCAGCAAGACTTCCCTACTCTTATACTCTAATCCTTTCATAATGAATGCTGACATATGTATGCTTTGTATGTCAGTGTACTCTAAGTAACATTAAACCTGTAGTTAAAATGGGCTCTTTCACCTTTTAATTGTTTTAATTTAGATTGAGAATTATTTCAAGATATTCTTTGGTCTGGTGCATTGCTCTAATTCTGGATTGAAACCCACCACTTTTTATAGATTTGGATGGCAATTTTTTTGTAGCCCTTACATAAATGAAAACAAATACATGTCTTGAAGGAGTGAAAATTCACTAATTATGATAAAAGTTTAAAAATGAATTATTATCAATGTGGTTTGCAAAGATCCCAAACTCTTTATTTACTGTAGCTCTGCTGCTACCTTCAAAATGACATATGCTTTCATTTGATATGCAAATACTGTGGTGACATGTCAGCAACATAGCATTCAGCCTGGTGTTTATATTTGTATTAAATACATATGCTTGAATAGTTCCTTCCCAGCTATAAGGTTATGTAATGTGTCTCTTGTCATTCTTATTGGTCTTCTCCAGTCGTTCTATGTGTAGTTCATTTTTGGCCAACCATCAGGGAGAAATAGTCCTATGACATGGATTAAAGGAGCTACATATGACACCCCTCCCCAAAGTTTTATAAACTTTGCAGACTCACCCACAGCTCTTCGCTCCCACATCAGGATCAAGACTTCATGTTTTTTCGTCAGCTGGGTATTTAACTCATTTGAAAACCTATCACCATACTTAACTGTATCCAAACTAAACTATAATATTAATAATGATAATCCTTGCTTTTGATATAGCATCTTATGATGTCATTGAAATGTCTCAAAACGCTTCACGGCATATACTGTAAAGTGGTGTGACCATATTTTGTGGGTAAACTACTGAGAGTTCCACAATTATATAGTTTCCACTTGGAGTGTGCACTCTCTAAAGGGACGCACCATACCTACCTAATCCCAAAGTGTTTAAACATGGTCTGATGAGTGCCAAGGCATGGGGACCCCTGAGTGGGCGTGGAAGACTTAATCAAGATGCTTAGCTTTTTATACAATAATAATAATAATAACACCAATAATAATAATCCTTGCATTTGAAATAGCGCTTTTCACATCTTCTAGACGTCTCAAAGCGCTTCATAGAATATACTGTAAAGTCAATTGACCGTATAATACAAAGCATAGGAAGTCTTTTGATCCATTGTGTCTAATATTTTGCCTTATTTTGAGAAGGGAAGGAGCTTCGCCAATGTGTATGATTGAAAATACTAGCTTTTTTGAAATGCGATTTAACAATCATACTTCTTTGTGCAACAACTTCACTTTCCCATCCTCATAGGCTGACCAGTGCTACCTTACCTCCTGCCCACATCCTCCTTTAGTTAGGAAACTGAAGACGTGTCTAGAGCTGTCTTCAGTTTCGCTGTTGGTTAGCAAATACATCAAGTCCCTCTGCTGTGTTGGCTTACATGTTTCATTACGTGACTTGATTTGAAAACTGGACCAACTCTCTCGAACTGAGGTCGATAAAAAATCAGAATGTCAATCGAGGCTGGTCTTAAACAGCACTCCCTTCCATCAAAGTCCTATACTCTACTGCTGGAGCAATAAGAAAACTCAAGATTGGCTCACAAAAATGGGAATAGAGGTGAACTAGTTCCTCAAATATTGAAACCCAAGTCAAATATAAAGAATATAAAACATTGAAGAAACATTATTAACGTTATGAATCGCCACAATTTCAACTTCATTTTATTTAGAAGAAATGAGCTTCATGGGCCGAATAGTCTTCTCTGGTGTTATGTTTTGTTACATTCTTAACACTGGTCAGGTTTTTGTTTCCCCCGAGGCCTTTGTTTTTGCTTCAAACAGATTCGAAAATGTTAAAAAAAAACCTACGCCAAATTAATTTATTCAGTGACTACGATAATTGGCATTAATTTCCAGAAATTAAAGGAGTGTATTTTTAGATAAGTATTAAGGAATAATACGACACAACTGAACTAACTTGTCATAGTACATTATCAATCTAGGAGCTGACTGGATGCAGAAAGTACACTGCAGCTGTAATTGATTAATGAACATTTTCACATTAGGCAATGGATCCACTGGAGAATTGATCTCTGTTGTGAGTGCCTTGTTGCATTAAATTGGATAAGAAATTGTAATGTCTGTATAC